GGCTGGATGCGGTGATTTTCCCGTGCCGTGGGCATCTAGACCCCGTGAATCTTCCTTCCGTGTTCCCGCTGCAGCAGGCCGCGGTCCTGGGCTGCGGGCTTGGAGATGCCGGGTGGGCCGTGGGAGGCAGACGTGACGGCCGGAGCGCCTGTGAGGGAATGAGCTCTACCTTCCGGGAGCACAGATCGCAGGACCAACAGCCATGAGGGTCAACACCTGGGAGTTGGCAGCAGTTTTGGTGGAGGGAGGAGAGAAGCCAGCCTGCCGGGGCCGGCCAGAGGGACTCCACCCTCCCACCGGAGCACCGCCGAGATGAGAGATGCCCCGGATGGAAGCTAAGTACCGGTTTTTGTGTCCTGGGTTGGGGGGGGGGGGGGCTGAGACTCCGACCGGCAGCTTCCTTGGCAGTGGGAACGACTGTGGGGGGTGGGGAGCAGGGGAGAATGAGTGCGGGTCCTGAGGGGCATCGGAGTGGGTGCCACAGCACCTGCAGCAACAGCCCTCCCTTCTCCCGGACATGTCTAGAGGAGAGGCTCGGTCTGCTGGCTTCGTGGACCCCGGGCTGGCCTGGCCTGGCCTTCCCCAGTAGAGGAGAATCGGTGTCTGTCCCTGAACACTCGCCCTCAGCTGCCAGAAATTCTGAAGGCAAAAGCTGAGGAATTCGAAGCATTTATGACTTAGCAGGATTGTTCCCAAACTGCAGGCGTCTCTAAAGAAGCTTTCTGGATTTCATTGTGGTTGCTTCTCAGCTCTTAGATCCTGGCCAAGGACTCCCTGGGTCTCACTTTTCAGGGCTGCCCTCTGGCTGCAGGGTCATGGCCTCCATGAGGTTGGCTGCCTAACACATGGGTATTTGCAAACCTTGCTGCCTTCCTGAAGGGAAAAAGCATAGAAACTGGAGTCGGATGGTTCTAGCCCTTTCTAGAGGGTCATCTTGGTCACATCTCGGGTTTTTTGCTCATTTTTCACATGGCTTGCCACCCCTGAGAACCTAGGGTAGTGGCTTGTCTAGAGGCGAAAAACCTATCTGAGCAGAATAACACGCGTGCTTTTTCCTAGTAACTGTTTCTGTTGAGTTTGAACGGTAGCTACTCTCTTCTTACAGATTCTGCCTCTGGTCTTTAACCCCAGTTGCAGCTAATTGGCCAGGGGTGGGCGTCTGACCCACACAGAGCCAGTGATTAGCATTCAGGCACGGATTTGGAGCCCTGCATTGGTGTCCTAAGCTATATGGCAAATGGCTTTCCTTTCTATACTCCCACTTCCCTCCCACTCCACTGCAGACATCACTGGCCGGGGAAGAGTGCGGGATTGATTAGTAATGTCTGCCACAGGTGTGTGAGGAGCAGAGTAAGCATGCTGCTCTTTGCCAGCCCTGGTCCTAGCAGTAAGAATTCATATTTAAGGTGGAACACTCAGCTTTACCCAATGTCCACAGCAACACTACCGTTCAGTCCCCCTGACCAGCACCGGGTGATGCAATGGGCCTGCTCAGACTGGGATGGTTACTAACGTAGTTGGAGCACAGCTTCAAGCCCGAAGAGGGTGAGGTGGGAAGGAGACACTTGAGTCAGGCAAGCAGAACCGAGCCTCATCCTTCACATGTGACAAACCACCCCCCCCCCCCCGCCGCCCCCATATCTCACTACAAAGAACGCGGCTCAGAGAGGTAAAGTGACTTGCCCAATAGCACACAGCTAGAGAGCGCCAGGCCTTGATCCCGGGTGCTGTGCTCTAACTAGAAGTTCCCAGGGGTTCTGGCTGTACCTATTTATTTTTTAATGTTTATTTATTTATTGAGAGAAAAAAAAACGCAAATGGGGCAGGGGCGGAGAGAGAGGAGAACAGGATCTGAAGCAGGCTCTGTGCTGAGAGCAGAGATCCCAATGTGGGGCTCGAACTCCCGAACCGTGAGATCATGACCTGAGCCGAAGTCAGACGCCAGGCGCCCCTGGCTGTACCTAAACTATGTGCTTGTGCACTCCTGTTTGGGTCTCTCCTGGGTCCGTGTAACTTGACTCCCTGACACTTCGGGATAATGTAAAAGAAGGTCTGCTAGATGGCCTGCTTGCTTTTCCCTGGAGTTCCATTTTGAAATACTTCACGGAGTTATTGTCAATGTTCATCGGTGCGTTATTGTAAATGTGCATCAAAACAGCGTTCGTGCAGAGGCCTGTGTGAGTAATCCTGGTTGTGAGTGGAAGAAGCAGCAACTTTCAGTGGAGTCCGTTCACACACGAGCACAGGCGATGCCAACAGAATTATGTGCTCTCTGCAGGGTGGCCAGGCTGGGCCTGGACTGTGGGCCAGGATGGCCGTCACCACGTTTCTTTAGTTCACTGCCACTGGGCCCGTAGATATGCCCTGAAGCAGATGCCAGAGCCATCCCCTGGCTGCAGGGTGGGGGCGGGTAGGGAAGGAAGATTGGAAAGGGTGGCGGGAGGGATCGCAGGCGGCCCTGGAAAGGCGTGGTTATTTTTTTTTTTAATTTTTTTTTTCAACGTTTATTTATTTTTTTGGGGACAGAGAGAGACAGAGCATGAACGGGGGAGGGGCAGAGAGAGAGGGAGACACAGAATCGGAAACAGGCTCCAGGCTCTGAGCCATCCGCCCAGAGCCCGACGCGGGGCTCGAACTCCCGGACCGCGAGATCGTGACCTGGCTGAAGTCGGACGCTTAACCGACTGCGCCACCCAGGCGCCCCTGGAAAGGCGTGGTTATTAAAGACCCAGCGTCTAGTTGGAGGACCTGGGCACTTTGATGGTGGCGCCCTCCTCCTGGCTCTTTTGATCAGCTCCCAGGCCTGAGCTCCTGCCTCAACCCCTGCCCTGTGGTTCCCTCCCATGGGGCTCCAAGGCTTTCTGCTCAGCCCCCTCTGTGAATGATGCCACCCCCTCTGATCTCAAGCCTCGCTTCCTGCCCGGGCTCAGCCCTACCTGCTGGAGTCCTCCCGCCTGAACTGTTTTCCAGCCTGTGTGAGCCTCACCTGTGAGACCTCAGCAGTTCTGGCTGCTTCTCCGGGCACAGCAGCGCTCAGCCTCCCTAGCCCTCAGGCTCTTTTCCTCCCTCCAGACTCAGCCTGCCTCCTGCTTTCTGCCCAGACTGGGACAGTCCCCCTAAATCCCTACTCCAGGGCAAAAGCAGGCCGCTTCTTTGCTGGAGAAAAAGCGAGGCGCCCTCAGCCATTAACACCTGCGCCCCTTCCCAGAGCACCCCAAATAACCAAGTGCTTGGCAAGAAAAGACAACGGAACGGACCTTCAAAAGAACACCTTTGGAGTTTTGTTCCATCTTTCTTGATTCAACTTCAGAGTTTCCTATTAAGGAAAGCTTCACCATTCCCCCTCGGCCAACCAACTAACTAGATAAATACATAAAATAAAGTCAAGAGGAAACACAGTATTTGAGATGTTAAAAGGAACACAGTTGGAGTTAAACCCCATCGATAACTGCTCTTGACCCGTTTCTAGCCTGTGTGGCCCCGAGAAACTGGGATTATAGGAACATGGAGACAGCAGGGAATTGTGGGGAGAATGAAGATTTCAGAGTCAGAGCTGGTTTTGAGTCCTGGCTAGTGAGCCTTTTAGAACCTCTGTTTTCTCCTCTGTCAAATAGGGATAAAAATAGCACCTACATGAGAGTAGCTGCTGAGTTCTCTGCAAAAGCCAATGATGTGCCTAACACATGGTTGGAGGCCACAAGGGTTTGTCTACAGTCTTTCCTTGACTTCTGGGGCTCATCTCTGAATCAAAGCCTCTCGACCAGGAAGGGGCTTGGAGCTGAGCTTTCCTGAGTGGGAGCATCTGTCCCCGGGCAACACCCTCAGCTTTGGCAAAATGTGGGTTCTACCTGGCACACCCAGACGGGGTCGGATCCCAGAGACGAGGGGATTAGCAGGATCCCAGCAGGGACTGCAGTTGGAGGGGGTCAAGCAGAGCAGAAGCGTGGGTTCCGTGTGGGGTCTAAACCGGGGGCCAGGGGAAAGGAGCAGGGCTTGGAAGTCACTAGACTGTACACACACGGGGATGAGGGCATGCCTGTTTTGTTCTCTGCGGTATTGTGTACCTAGCACAGTGTCCGGCACTGTCTTTCTTGAACAAATGAAGAATAAATGAATGACAACCTTATCAGTTGGAGCCTGGTTGCTTCAGGAATTCCTTTTCAAAACAAGGCAAAGGAGACCAGCTGCTGGCAGGAAGCAGAGGGCCTCTGGCAAGCAGACGGGTCTGTCTGGATGCAAAGCGTTAGTGATTGGTCAGGCAGTGTGGAACCGGATTCTAGCAGGTTCTATGGGCAGGCAAAGAAATTCTGGTCTCCGGATGATGGAAACCATGGAGGGTACTGAGGAAGATCTGGTGAATTCAAGACGTTAGAACTTGAACTCTAGGGGCGCCTGGGTGGCGCAGTCGGTTAAGCGTCCGACTTCAACCAGGTCACGATCTCGCGGTCCGGGAGTTCGAGCCCCGCGTCAGGCTCTGGGCTGATGGCTCAGAGCCTGGAGCCTGTTTCCGATTCTGTGTCTCCCTCTCTCTCTGCCCCTCCCCTGTTCATGCTCTGTCTCTCTCTGTCCCAAAAATAAATAAAAAACGTTGAAAAAAAAAAATTTAAAAAAAGAACTCTAGAGCCAGACTGCCCAGAGCCCAGTTCTGTCACCCACGAGGCATATGACCTGTATCAAGTACCGAACCTCTGTGCCTTTACTTTTTCCTTTATAAAACAAGGATGGTAATAGTATGTCACAGGCTTGTTGAGAGGATTCAATGAGATTATTTGTAGGAAGTCCACACTAAGTGCTCGGTAAGCACCGCTGTTGGGACTATTTGAGAGGAGTGGGAGATTATCGGAGCTGTGTTTCAAGATAGTGAAGCAGGGAACAGGTGCAGGATGGATTATCCCAAAGCGAATCTAGTTAAGAGGTCATTGCAATATCCAGGCATGAGAGGATAGGGCCTAAATTAGGGGAATGATTGGGGCCTGAAGCGGAGATCAGTGCAAAACAGGTGGTTCATGAAGAAGCAATCAACAGAACTGATTGGCTGTGGTGGAGGGGAAGGTCAGAGGAGCGGGGAGGAGAAAACTCAGAACTCCTTTGTGCCTCTGAGAGCGAGGGTGCCTGGGTAGGAGGTGGCACCCCCAGGAGGGACGACGGACGTCTAAAGAAGGAGCAGGTATGGAGGATAAAAATTCAGCGTGGGCATGCTAAGTTGCACTTGGGGTAGCCCAGTCACGGGGAGATGTGAAGCTGGAAGTGCCCAACGAGCTGGGTGAGATACTGGGGCTGGGGGGAGAGCAGGCCATCACGGAAGCTGGGCAGAGACCTAAGAAGTGTGGAGGATGCACCTAGGTGGCGTTCACATCTGGGGAGAGGCAAAGAGCCCACCTGGGTGCAAACGGCAGCAGCCAGCGGGTGGGAGAGAAGCAGAAAAGCGTGGCGTCTGTGAAACCTTGGGGGCTGAGCTCCTGGTAGGAGGTGATGGATAGTGAGGTCAGATGCTGCAGAGCCAGGAAAAGAGGGGTCGGGACCAGCCCCGTGGGTAAAGAGCTGACGACGCAGAGAGCAATTTCAGCCGCTGGAAAACTAGTAGTGGCTTCTGGGGGTTCATGAGAGGAAGGAGAAAGGGAGGAAGTGGAACCAGGAGGAAGCGTCGTAGGAAAAATGTGAACCAGGGCACAGGGTGAGGGAGAACTGGCTTAAGTGCAAGTTGTTTTTCATCTCAGAAATCTGCATGGTCTGGAGTGAAAGCCAGGATGCTGGAGGAGAAGGGAGCTGGTCCTGGAGGAGGCAGGCGGCAGGAGGGGCAGCCTGGGAACTGGGGCGGGAGGAAGAGAGACGCAGTGGGATGTTGAAATGCTACGGGAAAACCACGAAGCCAACAGCTTTGAGTTGTTGGTAAAGGAAGAGGTGAAGGCATGGTGCGGGGAGCAAGCAGGTGGAGGGGCATGGGGAGAAGATAGGGAGCAGGTGTTCGGGGGAGAGGAAGGGAATCCACGAGAGATGGCGGAGGACCCACAGAAGCCAGGGAGCATCTGAACGCAACTGAGGAGTCAGCTGGTACGTGTCCAATCTGTGATTTTCTGCAACAGTTCCGTGCTGGGGAACAAGAATAAAAATGTCCACTAGTGGGACGTGATTTGGAGAGGCAAGGAGACTTTGAGTGCAAGGACAGAGTCAAAATGACTAGCGGTGGGGTCCAGACTGGATTCTGGAGTCCTGGCTCACTATCGGCGGTCTGTGGAATAAAGACAGTGATTTCTCAGCCACAAGTAAGATTTGAGACAAATGACTGTAAATCTCCGTTTGGCCTTAGGGTAGGTTGTGTGTTTTCTTGTAGCAGCAAACCTGTATGGAACGTGAAATCACCGATCCTAGGGGCAAAAGCCCCTAATGATTATATGGCAGCTGGGGCTGGGTTGTTTTCTGGGAGAATCTACGTAGGGCGCCTCAAATGTATCTGGTCCTATCTCATCGTGTCACTGAATTCTTTCAAGTGAGCTGTGTCTGTCACCTACCTCCACTGGATTGGAAGAATCCGTTTGGGAAGGGACTCTGTACTTTCTCATCTCATTTTGTGCATAGCGAGGGGCTGAACTCAGAACAGGAAGTCCACGAATATTCCCTGACTTGACTGCATCCTGATCATTCACAGTCCGGGGCCTGGCCCCGGGGAGCTGACAGGATTCTGGTTGTCCTGTGGTGTCTTGGTGTCCCACTCATCAATGCTTGGGCATACTTATGTAGGGGTTGGAATCCTCCTGAACAGGAGAGAAGCCGCGTATCTTATTAACAAAGAGCACCGAAGGTATGCGGGTCAGGAAGCCATTTCATCCGGATGAGTGAATTTCATGAATGAAAGCGATTTGGCAGGTCCCCTGATTAGGGTGGTTGCTGGTGGGCTTGGTCTTTCACAGTCAGTGACAGACCTGGTCATGGGTCTGGACATGCAATTCTGATGTGAGACAGTGGGGCATTATGGGAATTAGCCCAGAGAACCAAAGATGCAGAAAGACTCAGAACACGGTCGAGGTGAGGGCACCATGGCCTCGGTAACCTGGCTTAGCGCATGCTCACTGGTTACCATGTTAGGGTCCATTATTGTTTTTCATTTTTGTTTATTTTTTTGAGAGAGAGCATGAGTGAGCACGAGTGGGGTAGGTGTAGAGAGAGAATCCCAACCGGGCTCCGTGCTGTCAGTGCGGAGTCTGACGCGGGGCTCGAACTCACCACCGTGAGACCATGACCTGAGCTGAAATCAAGAGTCGGACGCTTCACGGGCTGAGCCACCCAGGTGCCCCTTACTTTCCATTCTTTTAAGCCAAGTGCCCCCAGTTCTGTGTGTTTGTATTCTCCAATATCGTGACGAATGAGGAGAGATGGGGTAACCTCTGAAGCTTGAGTGGAAAAAGGCTTCCAGGAGCAGCTTTTCAGAAACATCGTCATTTGCCAAAGGGCAGGCACCGTGTTTCTGTGGGCAGGCGGTGAGGCCATTGTCAGGGTTTCCAGGAAGCCATGTACGAACCTGAGAGTCACGGAGTCCCAACCCTGTCTCCCATACCAAGCAAATGTGTAACAGATTAAATATTTATCTATTGTCCCGTCCACCTCAATAAGACATGGCACTCTTTAAAACGGCTGCCTTAATGACGTCTGTGTGTGTTGGAATGCGGCCCTGGGCTAACAAATCGCATCTGAAGATGTGGAAACATGAAAATCGATAACAAGAAATGAAAAGGCTGTTTCGCCGATAAAGCATCGTTTATCTTAATCTGTGGGGCTTCTCAGAATTTCCTAAGTGCCCTTTGAAATGCCAGCGTCAAAGCTGGGGACCACGTGTATGCGGAAGGCCCAGGGGAGTCATCGAGGCAGAAGTGCCGGTGGCTCAGGCCGCAGGAGCCGGCTGGGGAGAAGCGTCATTCTGGGGCAGTCCCCCACTGGACTGGTTTCCAACCAGATTGCTCCCCAGCGGGGGTTTCCAGGGATATTTCTGGGATTTCAAAACTCTCAGTGAAAATAACATACCATCGGAATGGGAGATATTTCACAAGACGCTAACCGTGAAGCAGAAGTGACCCGCTTTTGGTAGGCTTAATACAATGTGGTGGGCATTGTAACAGTCACTTGTACTGACTAATATGAATTGGGAAAATAAAATTATTATTCCACCTCCAGGAAGCCTATACTTTACCTGACCGTAGGCTGGAGGACCGCATTCCTGCCTCCCCCCCACCCCCGACCCCGCTGAATCCACACTGGGACCCAACGGCACAAGTCCTCTGTGGTGAGGAGGTTGGAAACACTGGGCCTCAGGGATTGGCTTTCTGGCTCTAGCCCTTTCCTTTGCTTCATGCACACACCCACCTCTGGTCTTCAGGCTCCCTTACCTCTTCTCAGGGGACGAAAATACAGGAAGGTTGGAGGTGGCTTAGGACCTCCTGCCCTCCCAGCAGCCCCAGGGAGGCGGAGGATGAGGCTTTCCTAAGCACACCTCGGCTTCCAGATTGGGGGTGGGCAGAGGCTCGTCTCCTCTCCTGATCTCCTTTGCTCTCTGGCTGTCACCATGGTTTGTAGATGGAAGGCCAGCCTCAGACGCCATTATTGCTGACTGCTTTCTGCAGAGTTTTCTCGCACGGTGGCCAGAAGGCTTGTGAATACACACTGCCTCCTGCTTTTCTCATAAAATCCACAGGCCTCTGACACCTCTGAGCCGATACCCCTTCTCCCTACCTCACTCCTTGCACTGCAGCCAGCCTGGCTTTCTGCAGCTCCCTCCAGGGAGCCGAGTCTCCTCCTGGCTTGGGGTCCTCACCTATGCTGTTCCCTTGAAGGACAAGCTCCTCACGTGAGGAGATGTCACTTGAAAACATCACTTTGCCAGAGGCCTCTCTTGACCTCAAAACCCAAGCGAGGCCTCTTTCACAGGTTTTTGTATTTGTCCTCAGCGGTCACCATAGCTTGTAGGCACCACTGCTTTGTGATTTTTGTGTGTATGTGTGTCCCCAAGTGAGCTCCACAAATGAGCCTCCTTTGTCAGGGGACCCGGCACGCCTAAGACATCGTAGACACTCAGTGCATGCTTGTTGACTATCTGGCCAGCTGGTTAAATGAATGAATGAGCTCCACAGAGCGCTCATCCTGCAGATTTTCAGGGGTAAGTCAGTCCCATGGTCAGATGCAATCTGGACGTGCCCTCATCTGTCTCCCTGCAGAGGGTCATAATATGCCTCCGTGTAGGAGACTCTGCAATGAGCTCCAGTGAGGAAACAAAAGTCAGGGCTCCTGGGTGGCTCAGGCGGTTAAGCATCCAACTCTTGGTTTCCGCTCAGGTCATGATCTCGCAGTTCGTGGGTTCGAGCCCCGCATGGGGCTCAGCACTGACAGTGCGGAGCCTGCTTGGGATTCTCTTTTTTCCTCTCTCTCTCTGCCCCTCCCCCATTCACTCTCTCTGTCTCTCAAAAATAAATACAACTTAAAAAAAAATTACAAAAGGAAAAGAAAACAAAAGGGAAAAAATAAAACCAAAGCTGTAGGAAGTGAGTTTAATTTTCTTTAGCCTCACATTTCCCAAACGTATTTGAATGTGACATTTTTTTTCCATCTAACATCGATTAACATCCCACAAATGTACTTTAAGATGTGCTTCACTGGTGGCTTCCTACTTGGGAAGCCTGAAACTCAAGATCGTCGGGCTGGGTGTGGGGGCCGCTTATCTTGTGCTGAGCACCCTCCTGGATGCCTGTGCATGTATTCACGTGGGCAGTCACCACCCTAATAAAGCAGGGAGCCTGAGCAAATTCTGGAGCTAGCCTGGGTTTATATTTTTCAGGGAAAAGAGGGAAAAACAGTCGAAGTTTGGTATTTGCAGATAGAACATAGTGTTTGCAGATACAATCTTTGTAGTTATGACAATGAGCAACTTGTACACGCTGACTTGTCTTTTGCTGAGACCTGAATCCGTAAGTGTTGGGAAGCTGGTGTGTGGACACAGGTCCCTTAGTGGCTGAGTGAGTCTACCTCCTATGTAGCATTTGCATCTCAATGCAGTTCTCCTGTTCTTAGTATTTTCTTGAATTTTCCACCAGACCTGAGTGAATTTTCTGGAGGGGCGATTGCATGCGATATTAGCATGAGTGACGGTTTCAGGACCTATCCCTCTTGCATAGTTAGGATGTT